GAGAGAGAGAGAGAGAGAGAGAGAGAGAGAGAGAGAGAGAGAGAGAGAGAGAGAGAGAGAGAGAGAGAGAGAGAGAGAGAGAGAGAGGGAACAAGTGACCTTTCAAGTGTTGGGAGGCAGCCATAGCCGCCGTCTATACAACTTGAGACTGGTTCATCACTCTTAAATTGTCAATAAAAATTTCAAGTTTCCCATATTTTGCTCATCTCATATCTCGTGTGTGGGGCTTTTATGGTGAGCTTGCATGTGGTCAATATCAAATTAAAGGTGCAGCAGATAAAATACTGTGCTCCATTGTTAAAAAACTCTCTATACATATAAGATCGGTGAGCTCATCATGTATGAGATTCGTGACAAGGGGTGGAAAGACAGCATGAGTTATGAAAAGAGAGAGAGAGCTTGCAGGAAGGGGAGCAGAAAGGGACGGATAGAACACTTACTGTCCGTGGAAAACTCGAATCATTCCCCCCCTCTCCCACAGATCCAATTCTATAACTCGGCATCCACGCAGAAGGCAATCCCTTATGGGCACCACACTAGAGCAGCTTGTAAGTTGATTGCCTGTCAAATAGGTGTTGTGGCTGCTGTAAATAAAGTAGTGGCTAAGAGGAAGAGTCATGTCATGATGCACCTGCTAGAAAACACACATCATCAGAGGGTGGGCTGAGGTTAGAAAGTACGGCATGTACTTATGCAAAGAACAAATCCTTGAGAACTCGAACTTTCCAAGATGCAAAACACACATAGCAGAAAAAGCATATTTGAGCAGAGTGAAAAGCAGAATTACAAAGCCGAGAACACCAAATGAGATCAAACTGAACAGTGGTCTGTTGACAAAGAACGACCTGCTTCCCGCCTCTAAAAGTCAGTATGTTATGATCCTGGCCAATTTCGAAGTACACATTCATCAGAAAGTACAACGTCGTCCACTTGCAAAATGAATGAACTTCAGAGGAGAGAGGGTTAGAAGAAGAAGTAGAAAGAAATGTAATGACCCGCCAAAACACAGACTGAGAACACTGCTGATTTCTGGGATTTGCCGCTGGAATGAATGCCTTGCTGAGATTCCCGCATTCTGCTGTGATTTCGAAGTCTGTGTGTGTGTGCGTGCCTGCTGGTTTGCGTGCCTGTCTGAGTGCTTGTCGGCCTGAGTGTGTGTGTGACCCGCAAGGGTACTTGTTGGTTGAAACGCCCCGCAGGGCCGGTACTTACCTGTGGCCGTGACTTTGAGGGTTGCAGCGGGGAAAACACTCAAGTAGCGTGGGTAGGCCTGCGACACTTGGAGCAGCGGGAAAAGCGCTCACGTAGCAGGTAGGCTGGTGTTGGGCGGCTGGCTACCAGCCGGGAACTCCCCTTTGAACCAAAAAAAAGAATTGGACGTGTTCATTTTGTCTTCTTGCATGGTTTCTGATGTATGGATGTGTGTGACTGAGGGGTTTGAGGGGGAATCTTGGGGTTCCTGGCCTCCTTACTAACTTTCGGACAAGCACTGGAAGGGGTCCCAGGTAATGATTGCAAGCGGGGGCGAACGCGAACGGAAATACAACATTTTGATGGAGTCTTTAGGCAGAACGAAAATAAAGCCTGTGATGCAACTAAGGGGAAGAATCGTGAAGAAAGGCGGTGCTGGAAAGTACACGTGCGCCGATCCCAGACAGCTATGAAAGACCCTGGAACTAGGCTGAGCCTGCGTAAGAGCTTATGGTATGCAAAGAGGTGCCGGCAATCACGATAGCAGACCCTGCAGTGACCGCCGCGATATGGTGGGCAGTTCGAGAGATCAGTTGCCGGTCACTGTGGGATCTCGGCTTCAGTACGATTGACGAGACACAATGACCATCATAATGTATGACCCTTCGGCATGATCGGCCTCGAAACGACTAGCGGTGTACTGGCATAGCATTCTCACCAGAGGGTGGCACTGCACGATGCACACACACGAGGATCCAGTGTATACTGAGAAACTTGGGGCGGCAGAGTTAGACGAGGTAGTAGCCTCGACCATCGGGAGTCGAGTATGGTGCCTGCTTGAAAAAGAGGCAGAGCCAACAAGGGTGATCCAACTTAAGGGGAGGCGAGGAGAAAATGGGATTGGCTGATGAAAGAAGGTTGCAAGACAGTTGGGAAGGAGCAGCCAAGAACGATTCTTGGTAACTGTCTCCAGAGGGGTCAAGGAGGCTGAGACAGATCTTACATGCTGCACCTGCAACACGCTGCACGGGCCATTTTTCAGGCCCGTGTTGTTTTCAGGTCAAAAGCCTGAAAACAAAGAACTACACGGCCCGTGTTGTTTCAACCTGAAAGCCTGAAAAAAAGGGCCTACAGGCCCTGTGTCATTTCAGGCTAAATCAGGGCCTTTCCGGCCCTGAGAGTTTTCAGCCTGAAACTGAGGGCCATTTTCAGGCCCTCATAAGACCGACCTGCCCTGAAACTCAGGCACCAGACCAGGGTTTTAGCTCAGGCCATTTCTCGCCTATTTTCAAGACAACCTTTGTTTGAGCTTCAACCCCAGGGTCTGGCACGTTGAGGCATTGGCAAGAGCAGCCTCCTGGACGGGTCAGCCCTATATAGGACTGGCCCGCTGTTACATGCCCAGATGGGCGATGTACATAATAACCGAGGATCCGCAATGTGATAAATAGGACTGAATGGACAATGCAGTGCAAGTAGAATCTCAACAAGCAATGTGCATTCTGATACATACAAAATGGTGCTGAATAGCGCAGGGAAGACTTAGATACAAATCCTGACCTGACCAGGACTGACCTCATTCACGTAGTACAAGATAGCGAAGCAGAATGCTAGAAGACTAATGACTAGCCCAATCAATGTTTAATGCAGACCAAACATACATCATACTCCTCACAAGGTGTGAAGGAGCCTGGCGCTATACACAGGAAGAAAGCGCCAGGTCCAGACATACACAGACGAAGAGGAGGGGATCAGACGAAGAGGAGGGGGAGAGATGGGAATGTCGTCAACACCAAGTCTTTGTCACAAGTCCCAAATAATTCCTCGTTGAAGTGTCTGAAGCCCAAAAGTCGAGTCTGGATCCAATGTCACCAAGCTCTCTCTCTCTCTCTTTCTCTCGTAGTCTGCTGATGCAGTGAAGTCAGGTA